GAGGGGGAGAGAACCGCGCGGCAGTATCGTAAGAAAGAGCTCCACTGTGTTTCCAATAAAGGCGAACTTAGTTTCCGCGGCGTAGCCAGGTTTTCGTAATCTTCTATCCGTTGGCTGCTAGCCGGCCATCTCGAGCCGGTTGGCTCGCCAATTGGTTATTCCTGAATTATTCTTTTTACCTTCACCTGCTACCTCTTCTTCCCTTTATCTCTTCTCTGCCTTTCTTCTTGTCGATCCTTCTTTCCACACGTGCGCGGAGTTTGAGGATAATTAATTAAATTAACTGAGATGCTCTCTGACGTTAGTTGAATCGAGGTCGAGGTAAACCGTCGACCTAAATTTCGAGATTAATTCTGTACTATATGGTTATTAGACAGTAATTTCCATCAACATTATACAGCGTGATACATTATGAAGTTACTAAAGTATATAAGTGTGTACCTATATATATATATTTAGTGTATTAATAAATTATTAAATTGTAATAATATTAATCATATTTAAATAGTTATTACTATATCAGTTAAATGATATTACAAAGTCGAAATATCATTTACCGATAACTATCTATTAATAACTCGACTGTATCCATCAAGGTTTTCTCCATTAATTTACATCCGAACACGCTGTCACTCTCGTGAAGGGCTAAAGTCCTCTTAGATTTTCTGTCATTTTCACCAAAGTATCGCTTTCTCTCCCTCTACTTTATACGGTTTCGATTATTATTTAGGACCGCGCGATATCGTGTGAATGTCAGGTGAGGTCGTAGGTTCGCCCAGGAATTAATCTGTCAAAGGCTGGGTCCAGTTCTCCGTAGAACACCTCCAACGTCCGCTGTCAATTAGTCGGACATATCCGAAGGGTGCGCTCGTACCTAGCTGTAAAGGCACGTTCGTCTGTCAAGATTCCGTCATGGACGGAAACTGGGCATGAAGGTCACGCGCGCGCACACGGCTAGTAATACCGAAAAGTATCAACGTCGAACCAACCGTAGGAATGATAAAGAATAGGGCGTTACTTGAACTACCCGTCTCCGGCGATCCGTAAAAATTTGATATGTAATTGCTGGACTGTTCTCTTTTATGACAATTCTCTCGTGTCATGCAAAAATGTAAACTGAGTGTGACCCCGAATAAATCACATTTAAAATATAATGCCGGCACGTCATTTACTTCTTCGAATTTTTTACCAGTGTAGCTTTCGCACTCAACGTTCGCGCATATAAATACATATTAACACAAAATAGAAAGAGAAAAACAGGTACTTTACGAGCGAAACGTTGTGTACGGAGCTCGAAAGTTATTGTCCTTTATGTGCTCTCTATTCCCATAGCGGCATCTGTTAGCGGTCGAACGCCAATAGCAATGATATTCTCGGCGTTCAACGGCCAGCAGGCCACTCGAGTGGGGAGTTTTGCTTGGAGAGACGGAACAAAATTTTCGAATTTTATATATATGAATAAACTATTCCGTACATAAAAGTTGATAAGCTCTAATGACGACCGAAGAGCGAAACTTAGTGTACGTTACAAATATCGCAATCTTTACTTTCACACTGAGAGAAAATATTTCGTTTTTTCAACTATAATCATTATAGTAAAAGAATTACAGTCAATAAAACCAATTTTCAAGGAAATATTACTGTAGTGTTAGTGATAATAAATTTGCATGCATTTGTTACTACTATTTTGTGATTAAAACTATAAAAAAAATTATAATTGGCACCAAAAATAACTGTAATTTTTTTCAGTACATGAAGTTTCTATTATTTGTTTCAGATATCACAAATTAGCGAGATAAAATGGCGCAACATCGATGATTGCAACAACGACGTTTTTAATCAGCACCGGAGGGAATATTGATATGAGCAGTATCGGTGAGTCACAAAGTTTTAACTTGACCTTATAAAGCCGAAATCCGTATTTCGGTCCGCGTGATATCTTCAGAGTCTATTCAGAAAACATCAAAATCTGGACGTCCTCTTTCTACTTGGCAGCTTATCCTAACGCATATCAATGCTGTCTTTTATTAAATTTGAATTGAGCAAATTTTCAATATGCGTCACGCGAAGACAAATGTAGATACACGCTAAGCGCCGCTAAAGTGCTTTATTTCCAACGCTTTAAACACACGTATTTAACGGATTTCGATTATGTGGAAATTTCGGAGAATGGCGCTTAACGCTGATCAAATATAATCATCTCTTTTTCCTCCGTCGTTATTTTGAACGTTATTTGCCGGCGCGATTAATCATTTCTCGATAATTATCGGCACAATTAATTATTATCCGCTTTTACGGTGCTTCTCGATTACCGTTGATATTTTAAGTACTCGTTGAAACGTTTCGGGTTGTTATCACTCGTAAATTGAAGGTTACTGAAACCCCGGCGATCCCAGACGAACTCATCAATATAAATATTTTATTTGAATATTTTATTTACGTTGCAATAATATATATGAGATTACGTATTGCTGATCCCTCGCGCGCTCAATTATTCTTTCTCCGATCGTACATATCATGTATCTTTGGGATTCAAATTAGTTTAATAAAACTCATTGTGTGTTGCATCCGGGAGAGAGAGAGAGAGAAATCCGCCGGCGATCGTATAGAAAACTATTTTTCTTGCCGCGTCAGACAGCTTTAATATGGTGCACGTGTCATATCGTCCGCGGTATTCATGCGTTTTATTCCTTCCCGCTGCGGACGTTATTGTGTGTTTCATAAAAATCTGTAGCACAAAAGAGCAGCGCCGTCGAGGGTGTCTGAGGATACGTAATAAAAATACACGGCCGGACGTATAGGGAAGGGCGAAGAATGAGGAAGCGAATGGATCTGCCGTCCGCATAAAAATAACAGTGACGTGTACGATCAAATTCGCGATGAAAAGACTCCTCCGGCGATTTCGCTGAGATTTCCCTCTCGGTTGACGAGTCATCGGGTCAACCTCTCGATTCTTTTCTCTCTCTCGTCGGTATCCTCGATTCGGCGATAAGGAGCGATTTTCCGCTGATGTTTTATTCAAGCCTTACTTCGTATGCTAAATATCTTGTTTTGCCCGATTCCGCAGCTGCCGATTCATCGGCGAAGGAGGTCGTCTCGCCCAATTTCGTAGTAACGAATTTTCGAGTCGTATATACTACGAGCGCTGTTAGCCCGCCGCAAAGGGTGTCCGATAACGCGACACGTCCGAGAACTTTCCCTCCTACCGTCACGGCTGATAATCAAAGCTATTCGCATAGCTATTCGTAAGCAAAGCTTAGGTAAGAGCGAGCGAGCGAGGGGGCGGACAGCCCGCATTTTCGATAAGTTTCCATCGATAACACCTCCCCTGATCCTTCTCAATCCACTATCTATCTCCCTTCGCCCCCTCAAGAAAGTTGCTTCCGGCACGAAGTTCGATTAAGAGAAGCGTTTACGAGGATCGCGGCATTTCGAACTTTATGGACTACAGCGAGGGCTTTTTACGATGGACGAGCCCGCGAAATACAGCGCCGGGGATCGAAAGTGAATATTCGTGTATTCTCCGATTATTTCCCGGTCTCCGTTTCTTTTCACACAAGCTGCTCTTTCAATGCGGAATAGTTCGTTTAATTACTTAGCGAAATCGATACGTTCCATTAGGCACATTTTGTCAACAGGGACGTGTGCAATCAGTTAATTACACACATAGGATTTCAGAAATAACGGAAAATTCCGATTTTGATTCAATGCCGTTGAATCTATCTCCTATTCTAAAAAATAATAGATATACGCATTAATAAATTTCTAATTATGATCGATGAGAATAAAACGTTGTTTGAAAGCCGCGCTCTTCCTCTCTGACTGCAAAGTAGTTAAAGAATGTTTGCACGTTGATACTTAATTCTTCTCTTTTGCATCACGGACGTTACCTTTTACTTTGTCGTCGATTAAACGTATGCAAATGTCGCTTTTCCCCTCTGTTAATTTTTACCCTCCTACGGTTATCCTTTGACAATTTCATGCCATCCCCTTCCGTTATTTACGCGTCGCTCTCTGGCAAGAAAATAACCGGAGGGCTATTTCCTCGAGAAGAGTGACTTGTCCCAAAACGTCGGAATGCAATAAGATGTTGAAAGAGAAGCGACGCGTGGTATTAAAATTTCTTTCGCATTTTCTTGAAATACAATTGTGTGTCACGGAGATTTCCCCAAAATATCTTCCGTGTCTCACGCGGGCACATAATAAGAGCGATTAATTTTCTTCGTGCGATCTTTCCACGCGAGAGAGAATCTATCATATTCCGCCTGTACGGACGTTCCCCTGTCGTTCTTGTTTGCGTAATTTCCAGTCGGATATAACTGCTAGTAGTATTCGCAATATCGCCTGCAATTAATTCTCGCTATCGCGCGTTCCAACTGTGACACGATTTTCAGACGTCAAGGAGAAAACCCGTCTTGTAATTAATACCAGCCGGTTGTGAGCGCACTTGTAATCTCGCGAAACGAGCCAGTTAGAGAAAATCGACGACATTCGGTGTAGCATCCGAATTCCCGCGTCGGCGTTTCGATCAAAGGCAACTGAAGTGGCATGTGACAAATTAATGTTTCCATAATGATACGTAAATTACACACGTAAATTCGAACATAACATTGCAAAATGATAATATTGTACTTACCTATTCGATGCAAGCGGCGGAGCAGCGCATGAGAACTTTCGCCGTGGATGTAATTGGATGCATTACGAAATATTTGTTCGGGAGATACAAAAAAGAAAGAGAAGAGAAAAGCGAAGGGTCAACTTTCGCTTCAAAGTTCAACTCTCGGGATCGTACACGGCTGTTCCGCGGGCGAGTGTAAAGGCGAAAGATTTCGAGCGCTCTCCTCGCAGGATCCTTCCCCATCGTGCGAAAAACGAGGCGCAAACCAAAAGAATGAGTGACGGTGTGCGAAAGGTCAACAGAAGAAGAAGATTAAGAACAAAGGCGATTGCCGAGGTGGAGATGACGTTTAATCGTAAATCAATAAAATTAATGAATTAAATAAATAAATTAAAAATGTTTATACACATATTTATATATAACATATATATAATATAATATAAAACATAAATAGGGTCCCGAGACTGCTGGAGCACAGCGCGCATCCCTCGCTCCCCCTTCCCTCCCCGTCAGTTTTATCCGGAGGTCGTCATCGTCGTTGCCGCCGTCGGTGAGATTTCTGATGAGAGATCTCGCGAGCTCTTAATTAAAACGAAACTTTAAACGGATAAATATTCCTCTCCGCGTGTCGTGCATCTCAAGAATCGGAAGGATGCTTTCGAAATCGGATAATTATCCTTCGCGAAACGATGTCTTTCTCGTCCGACTTCGACTCGTTCCTCGTCGAGATATTTACTCTTATTCTTGTGATTTCCTACCTCTTCCTTCTCCTCTCTTTCTCTCTCTTTTTACCTATCTTATATCTCTGTTTTTTAGCTAGCCTAATGCGTTATTCTATCGTATTTTACATTAAATCGTTTTTGCCCCGTGGTCTCTCCTTCGCGATTCGTTCGCTAATATCGGCCGATCTCCTCCTCTCTATCTCTCTCGCGCGTTATTTTTCTATTTGCTGCAACGCAATATCTAATTTCGGATGAGAAGAAGCTTCGGAAATGTGACTGCAACATCGTCGTTGCCGTCGAAGGCCGGCGGTTTTCGGTGAAAAATTAATTTCCCCGGTTGAAGCGCTTTCTACCATCGCGCTCGGCTCAATTATTGAACATCGTGTAATCGATTATTACGTCGATGGTTTCATCATGAACATTCCCAGCGATTTTTAATGTTGAAACCCGTTGGTTTCCCGTCATCGATTAGAAAGTAAAGATATACAATTCTTCGAATAATTACAAATAATGAGAGAGAGAAGTAAATCGCTATAAATTGAAGCGCGTGACCTCTCCCAACAACGACGAACATGCGATACAAATTTCACCTCTTCCTTGGATTTTCTTATCTCGTGGCACAGTCCTGAGTATCGAAGTTTGATACTACCGGACCACTCTCGAGCGAGACGCGAATCGTTGCAGATCTGAAAGAAAAGAACGCGCCTTCGAGAGGAGGAGGACCCTTGACGTGGCCGTCTTGAGGCGACGATTCGTGATCGCGTCTGTCCTTGATCGAGACCCTGGGCTCTTTGGTATTGTTCTCCTTTGTGTGGCGACATACACCACCTCCCCGGCGCGCTTCCATGTCGTTCTTCTCGATGGCGGCGCCGAGATTTTTCGAGGTCAAGCACCGCCATTCGAATTCGCGATCTTTCCCGATGATACGAAAGAGCACCGGTAAAGTCGAGAAACCTACGTCCCCACCGTTTTCTTTCTTTCTTTTCCCCTTTCATACTGGCACACGCTCATTTGCACATTCATGATCTCTCGCAACGTCGCCCATTCTTTCTGTCATTTCTCTTTCTCGTACGCGCGCGAGCCGAAGAACTTTCCGCGCAGTGACACATTTTCTAGAAGGAAAGATAATAACATTCGAAGAAGTAGAAAAACAAGAGAAGGAAGAGGAACAAGAGTAGAAGAAGAAAAAGGATAAATAGAAAAAGGAAAGAAGACGGTAATGATATAGCCGTAGAAATCGAAGAAGGTACGAATGCCCGGTCCGAACTGTTTTGGAACCTGTCGCTATAAAAGTACGCAGGATCCGTCCTAATGCCCGAGATCGACGGAACCGAAAAATTCGTCGTTCCTATTCTTCTCACTTTCTTTCTCCCCCGCCCGTCGTCGTCTCCCTCATCTATGCCTCGAATCCGTCTACTTTTCACCAAATTTCCCCCTCCCTCTTTAGTCGCGCGTTGGCCCTCTCACGACTGTTTCTCGTGGGCTCCAAGTACACCGTAAGGGTAGAAAAGGGTCTACTCATGTCAAAGGGCCCCGCGCGATTATCGCTAGCAGTAGTACGAGGTAGAGAGTCCCAGCTTGCAGGAAAAGGGTGCCCTACGCCGGTTATACACACTTCCGGTGCTGATGACGTCCTTCGTCTCGCACCGCAGACCCGTGAAGCCATCCGCGCATCTGCAACAGAAAATTCCAGCCGATATCAGGGAAGAAGAAGCACCTTGCGTCGAACGCGCGATATATTTTTAGTTTTCGCCGATAGTCTCGCTTTCACGACGGAACTTGGATGATACGGGATGATGCTCGACGGTTACCTGAACACTCGCCATCTCACCGGCAATCTCTGTCCCAATTAATCCGCTCTTTCTCCGCTTCTTTCTTTCTCGTGCACTTGACTCTCCAAATATCTCAAGCGACCTCTCGCACTCCAGATGACCAGATGTCATTTATTAGCTCGCCTCGGGACTTTTCTCCGAGCGAGAAGTGCGAATTCAACTAAATGTATGCATCGCGTCAGAATTCGGCGTCTTTCGCAGCGTCGACGGTCCCGAGAGCGCACCGCACGGATTTCGAGGAGGTCGCCGTTTCTTTGGAAAAATAATGTTATGTCGTCGTGGTGCGGCTATTTATAGGCCGCGGTTAACTAACCGCGACAAGACTCCTCTCTCTCTCGTGCTTGTGCGGGATTAAGAAACCTCTCTGGTACACCCGGATAAATAAATTATAGCACGACCTTTCCTTCTCCTCTTTTCGCGCCTTTCATTTTTTCCTTTGACGCTCTCTCTCTCTCTCTTTTCCCTCTCCCGCCTTTCTTTCTCTCTTCGTCGCTAATTCCGTCGTGTCGTATTTTCGCCGAGCCGCGCCGTCGAATTCATTCGCGTACAAGGAATTAACGGTGAATAGGAAGGGGTGCGCGAGTCCCGCTCGAAGCCGGGCTGGAGGAACCGAGTTTATAAGAGCTAATCTAATTTAAAGTCGCGTTCGCGCGTAGACGCATAAATATTCGGCAATAATCGCGGTCGCGTCTTTAGGCGAGCGCGTATCGGGCGCGCGCCGAAGAAGTCTACCTCTGCCGTAGTCTGGGAGCACGGCGTGCGATAAAGCGTATTTTTGTCACGACAAATTTGGAGCGTCTGAGACTCGCGTCGTTTTTATTTCGCGAAATCGCGCGCATAGGTAAGAAGAGAGCGGAGCGGGGCGGACGAAAGCGGGACGAGAGTGGTACACCGTTCCAGAAGCGTCTCCGATGAAAAGAGGGGAGAGACTTCGAGGGAGAAAGAGAATTACGTCTCCCGAGAGCGTCCGCCGCTCTCTCACGGGCATTTGTCGCGTACGAGCGTCGCGTTTAGAGTGTATTAAAAGAGTGACACATGCTAAGGGTCGTTAACGCGATAAATATGCGTAAGGATGGGTGCGGAGGCCGCGGGAAGAGGCGAATTTTTCCGCGTGGAAACGCGCGTAGACTCGGTCTCGAAGCTCGGCGGTTTTTCGACGTTGCATCTCGCCGTGATTTAGAGGAGAAAGGGAGAGAAAACCTGCGTTTAAATCGGCGGAGTTACCGCTGAACAAACTAAAACTGCAAGGAGAGATAGTGTACAATTTACCGTACCATTCACTTAAACCCATTAATGCGCTAAACTTTGCCTACAGCCGGCAACGAGTAATTGGCTTTCCATTGAGATTTATCGTAATCATGCGTGCGTGTTTTCCCCGGGAAGCACCTCGGGGAAACCCTTTCTCGCGCCGTCGCGGAACGAACTCGCAGGACATTCGGCGAGAATCAGCTAAGCAATATCGATTAGTCAGCTCGAAAATGGTTTCAATCATAATTTATATATAAGAATATATAAATGGAGCATAAGATGCCACCTTTTAGGCGAGGGGAGTGTAAGATCGATGGGTACGAGTCAAGGGATACAGTCCTTATACTTCGGTCGGTTCCGGCTACGTTTAGCTCACTTGGCAAGTGTGTTATTTTAGTTGAGGCTTTTCTTACATATTTCTTGTCGTTTTAAATCACGTAATTTGACACAACTGAACGTGTTAACTTATAATTTAACGCGATCAAACTGTTAAGTGACGTAATATAAAAGAAATATATAAAAAGAGCTTCGGTCAGATGTATTATTCTTAGGCGTTTATATATGTAAAAATAATACATTTGGTGCACATATTACTGAATTGTTGTAAAACAAGGAGTTTTTTCATTGCACGTGGCTGCAATATAATAATATTTTATATATTATATTAGCATAATAATAAATTTTATATTAGTGTAATAGTATATATAATAATATAAATCCTTTTCTCAACTATTTTCATGATCCACCAATTCCATTCAAAATAGTTATCGCAGAAAGTCGGACATATTCGAATAGTACCGAACGGAAATAATCGAACTATAAGTATGCACTTTTGCTCCGAAACTGTCATTCTTAATGTTCCATTTATATATTCTTATGGTCTCGATAATCGAGAGCTCGCGTTGATCTCATGTTAGTTCAAGTTCGGTCACTCGTGATAGCCGGAAATAGGTCTGGTTTCCTTAATTTTAACTTGATTAGACCACGCGCAGAATAAAATCTCGACAAGCTTAGACGAAGTCAGTTCGGAAACCGGCGCGAGATACCACGGAATGTAAGAGAAAAAGAAAAAAAAAAGAAAGAAAGGGAGAAAATAGGCTGCAAATAATGTAGTCATATTTTCCGACGTATATATTATGCTTTTAAAATCGTATTTTACTTTAAAATCGCGTCGCCGCGCATTAACATACCTTCCGAAATAATCTCCCGGGGATCCGCGCGCCGCAATTTCGGTGGAAATTAGGTGAGCCGCGCGGAAAAATTCATGGGCGTCTTCGCGGAGGCGTTAACCCGAAAATTTCTCGAGTTATCGTCTTTAAAGTACTTTTATGGCTCGCACGCGGAAATAAAGTGTTCCCGGCGGAGAATGCTCCTGGACGGTCGTTAGAAATCGATTTTTCCCGTCGACAGATTTTACGGGATGTTCCTTCCATCCGGCTGATGCGCGTCGTACGATACCGAGCATCGTCGTCGTCGTAACGAGAGCATCGCGTTATGCCGCTTACGCGTGCGCGTGTCGTGATATATGTGTTGCTCGTAAAAAATTGTAAATTAGCGAGGCTCGTTAATTCAGGGTCGTTGGCGTCATTGGCCGGCAGTCCCATCGATTTTCTCGCGTGACCCTCCCAATATCGATCGGTAGTATTCCGCTCTCCGCGGGAGAAAGAAAGAGAAGAAAGAGCTTGTCGTTTCGTGAGCTCTAATACAGCATTATTCCTGCCACTCGGAACCTGTCGCCGTGATTGGCGACATCGGAAACCTTTTTCGTCGTCGACGGCGACGGAAACTTTCAGATATCACTGAAGTTTCGGTTGCGGAAGAACTCCCGCGACCTTCTTCGCATAGTCGAGTCGAAAGGGTGGCATCGTGAGAATCGCTGGCTTGGATTGAAAATTTGGAACTTCACGAGCACATAGTTCTCTACTATATCATCTTTTCGTACGTTCGTAAAGCTTCATCGACGAAGTGGTATAATAATAAGTATTAGTTGGTCAAATGTAATTTATTCTCTGAGAACGTCGTTACATTTTTATTCATTCCTTTAAAAGTATGTCGTTTTCAATAATGTGCCCAGTTTGTAATATGTATGTTTTGAACGCGATTTAAGTGACCTGCCAAAAATACGTCGTTGTCAAGCTGAAAATAATAATTGAAGCAAATTGTGAAATCGATTATTCTCGGAATCTTCATTAGCGAAGTTCGTTTCTTAATTGAACTATTTACATATAATGTTTTACTATTCTTAACCAATCATATTTATTCGTCGTAGCAAATCCGTAGTAATAAATAATCGGCATTTGAAGTGTCTTCTATATAATTCAGACCGTTCTACAAAACCAGCAAGCATTTGAATAAAGAAAGGCGTCGATAATATATTGACCTCTGAATTACCGTACGATATAGCTGGAACAATTAAACAAATTATGAATAATTAATCCGAGAGAGCAACAAGAGGAAGACCTATGATGTCGCGTTCGTTGAAATCGCTTACGTCAACCACTTTGGTTTAAACCTTCGCGGACGAGAAGTATTGGGGCGTGCAGCCAAGAAAATATGCCAAAGGAAGATAGGCAATACATCGAGATCTGATGACTTTCTTCCGAAGAAAACGTCACATGAGCACTACATTGTGTGTTTATTATATTATGATACTGTGTGCCTTGTCGCTCAGAACGATAAATACGCATGGGCGGCTATTTGCCGACACGCGTCCGCAAAGGGTTAATAATGTACGCGCGCGACGTATCTCGCACTAAGTTAATTTCACAGAAAACAATACTTTAATCACATTTAAGCCTCGCTACGGTACTACAGTCGTGACGACGAAACGCACGTACTTCACGGTAATAACTCAAAATGTTTTTCCACGTAGGAATGAGGAAAGGGGGGAAAGGATTAAGATAAACAAAGCGGACAAAAAACTAATTAAAACATGGAAAATCCGTGAGTAAAGAACGCGGAAAGTATTCCGGCGGATGCTGTCTTTCCGCGCCAGCTTGAAACACGCTGGCTTCACCTTTTCCGTGTATTAATTAAAAGTAGCAGCTATTCAGAAGAAAAGAGAGACTCGCTTTTTTTTCGCGAGACCGACGTTTAAATGCGTCCTTGAGGAGGCGGGTTCTTCCATGCATTCTTTTTTTACATATCCTTTTTTTCTCCCGACAACGTTGAAATTTTCTAATTGCTGCTCTGTGGTAACGTTAATATCTTGCATCTTTAACAGATCTGTATTTAATTTTCCTTTAACGAAGTTGATGATGAATAAGTCCCGCAATTATTTACTTGAGCAATTCGAAGTATCGGACTAATTTCAGCAGTTTTGCTTACCGCGCGAAATAAAAAGTATGCACACGACGCTCGATCGCAAGAAAGCCGCGGTAAGTCGGTTTAGCATGCGCAAGTGGTGGGAAACGTCTCGTCCCGAAGATAAAAGGAAAAGATACACCGTGGGAGATGGGGTGGTCTTGCTACCGGTATTAATTCTCAGCGACCAACGTGCATCCGAAAGAAGAAACTTCCTTGCGGTTTACTTAATTCAATAACACCTTTGCGAAACGCAATTTCAACGCGATAACGCTTTAAACACGCCGTAAA